GCCTTGGAGACTTCAAATTACCAAATAAGGAAAGAAAGCTCTTGGGAAGACTGCTCTGAAACAAGATCCGTCCAGACATGCTGGTTCCACCAATAACTGACCCACTTCTGGAACTGAGCCCGCAGAATAAATCCAAGAGCCATAAAAACAAATTGTGCCCTTTGTAGCAGTGACTCCATGGCTTATATATTATCTTCAAAAAACAATTTGAAAGTGATAACTGGACTTTTAGTACAGACTGTCACCCCCGCCCCCTTCGGCTGATGCATTCCTCAACAGCAAAATCTCTCAGTGCCTCCAGCTTCGTTTCTGCTTTCCCTAATGTGTCACTCCCAGCAGTGGCTCACAAACACCTCCTGTATTCCATCTCTTCTCCTCCCCCTTATCTGACAGCTGGGTGCTCAGACACAGATGACCTTGGAGTTCATGTGTTAGGATGGCAGTGCCTCTGTCAACCTGAGTCCCTGAATGACTCCGTCACTGCTACCAACAAGGTACACACACATCAGACTTCCTATGAGCAAGATATAAACATCTCTTATGTGTTGTCACTGAGATTTGGGGATGCCTCTATTAAAGCAGCTAATGTCACCTTGTCACCCTAATTACTATTGTAATTATTTGCTGAATAAATTACTATGACTTAAAATAAATATGTATTGTGTTAGCACTACCATTTGGGGAGACATTTTATTAGAGAGGAGAAATTTGTGGTTAGGGGTTAGTGCTCTACTTCTGGAAATCCGCATTACTCTGTGGCATCACCACTGCAGATCTTGAAGGTTCTGGGGTTCCCCTAAATCTTCACCAGCTCAAAGGCAGCTGCCATCAACTCAATTAATATCACTGCAAACCACTTAAAAACACAAACAGAAACAGGTGAAGCTCCCTCAAACTGGCGGAGACCTCCTCATCCTGAGTAGATGTACTGCATTCATATCAGCTGTATATCAACCACCTGGAAATTTCAGTTACATAAAGCATTTGATTCACCAACCCTGATAATTAAATGAAGTGTCACACCATTTTAAGCAGTGTCATATTAAGCAGTGTCACACCAAAAGGCAGTCTTTGCTTAGCTTAAATTTAATGTCAAACAATATACAAAACTTAACATACCTTGTGCTATATGTTGAGATACTATTGCTTAATAATTATATAATCGCTGGAAAAACTATATAAAGTATTGTAAAATACTGTTAGAGTGACCGTATTTTTCAAACAGAGAATGAAAATACAGGCTCTGATAGCATTCTGGGAGGAAGATGGAAGCACTTCTGGAAACAAGAGGTATTCTAGGAGATGATGTTGGCCAAACTTTGGGAATGTGAAAGTCATTTCAGTAGTTTATGGCAGTGCTTCTAAGAAACTGCATTTTTAAAAACAAGCTCCTCGGGGGGCTTATGCCTACTAGAAATTGCCAACTACTAATCTACCACAATGAAAAACAAGACTATTTAAATAGGAACAATCCTAAGGATGGCTCCCTCCCTCTTCCAGGTTTCTGATCAAATGTCACCTCCTCTGAGAGGCACACATCCTTGACCACCCCAGATAAAATAAAATAGTATTCAGGTGTGCTCCCCACCACACACAGTCATTTTCTATTCCTCTTCCTGATTTTTCTTTGTTATACTTACAGAAACTTGATTTACTGTGTGTCTTCAGCACCTAGAACAGCACCTGGCACAAAACAGATGCCGGATAGACCTTTGTTGAATGAATAAATGTTGAAGATGATAATTGCTGGGAGGTACCTACTTTCCTCACTCAAGATTAATGTGTTTACAAAAACAACACTGGCCATCTCTGGGAAGTGGGATGATGGGCATTTTTTTAATGTATTTTTTTTCCTTAAATGTTCAACAATAAGCATGTACTACTTATATAACAGAGGAGTGTGTGTTTTTAAGAAAACATATTGTTAAATATTATGTATACACTCTGTCCATATAGCTGAATTGATCTTCATACTTACCGTAATAAGCTAAAGAATCTCCCATCACACTATTATAACTAAACATTCCCTAAATAAAACATTAAATAACTCACCTTGGGGATCACCATAATCACACCACAGAAAACTGCACTTGAGATGAGAGAGATGATCAGAACACTCTTTCTCCCCAAAACGTCCATCGCCACGCACACAAAAATGTAGGCAGGAATTTCCACTGCACCTGTCATTGAGCAAAAGGGCCCTCCATAAGCCATGGTGTCCAACTGTGCAAGGGGACCTCACCTCATAACCCATCCTCCAAAAGGAGTGATCAGCAGTATATCTGCCTCCAGGGGCCTCTAAGAACCATCAACTGCTTGAGAGGCAATAAACCCCACCACTTTGAACTCCCCAGAGGATGTTTCCTGGGAAAGGCACTAACGCCCAGCACTTATCACCTGTCCTAAGTTGTAAGCTCCCCAGGACACAGCATGGTGCCTGGAGGGCAGGCCTGTTGAATGAATAAATAAGTGAAATTAATAAATAACATTGATAATTTCTGATCTTTGGTTTCTTAAAAACTAGGGGGAACTTTTTGTATCAGTAACTTGAAACTTAGACACTAAAGTAGAAAATCCAGTGTCAGCTAAGCACATAAACTATAACTGCTTGGTGGATTTTAAACATAAAAGTAAACATTTTTAATATAATATGAATCACCTACAGAACAGGGGGCTTTATTTTGGATATCTTTTTACTCCCCTACAACAAAAATTGAATCCATAATTGACATAAAAGTCCTTCTCTTGAAGAACCAAAGTTTGAATCCTAGCTCCAGAACAAAAAAGCTTGATTTTCCATCACCCAGAGCCAAACAGGGAGCAAGAAAGATCTCAGCAAAACTGAGTCAACCCAACAATCTCCTTTGGGAAAGGAGCTAGCCCAGATCTTCCTTGTAATTCAAAGTTCTGTCCTTTCCTCCCTCTGCAGCTGCCTAATCTCAGGACACTACTGACCACTGCCTTTTAGGGGTGATGTACATCTGTCCATTCATCTACAGAAGCTTGCTTACAAGCACCTGGAGAGGCACGTCTGGGTCTAAATGTCTCCCACAGGTTCTGGACCACATCACAGGGGTGGATACATATTTTCTGAGTCAGCATTCTTAGTAGTATATCAGAAATTAAACTCAGTTCCAGCTGCTCAGGAAAAAACTGGCTCGGACAAAAGCAAAAAAATAACGTTCTGAGCCCCATTTGAGAGCTCTGGAGGAAACATCTCCCTTTCACAGACACTGCTGTGAGGTCCATGCTTCCAGGCTGGGACAGTAGGTACATCTGTTACTCTACCCTTTTTTGTTTGTTTTTAAGAGTTTATCAAGCACTTTTCAAGATCAAATAAGACAGCAATCTTCAAAAGAGCGTCCTAGGAGTAAGCCTGGATTATTAGCCCTACTTGACAACTAAGAGTAAATGATCTGAGCCAGGTGAGTAAGGGACAGCTCATGCACTGGAAGCGAGGTCCTGGGGAGCCAAGGCCCCTGTCCTGCAGCCTTCCTCCCCCTCTTCCTTCGTGCACGTCGGACTCGGAACTGTCCGTGTACAGCACCCTGTGCAAAGCCACCAGACAGCCTCCTGGAGTCTAGCAAAGCTGAAGAGATAGTGAAAGTGGACTACACTGGTTTTCCTTGAGTTGTTGCGTCAGGATATTGACATTACATCTGATTTTTGGCTTGGTTATGTCTGGGATAGAAATGGGGCAAGCAGTGAGGCCCACCCCTTCTAAGAGTAGGACATTCCTTTCTTCACTTTAATATGTAATCTCTCTAATCTCTTGGACCCCATTCCACTCTCATCTGCACATAACCCCAAAGGTTATTTACCACCAGCAAGTGGCACAAAACCAGAGCTGAAGTTCCCACCAGCCCCAAACCATCTCAGAAGGTGAAAACTTGTTCAAAAATTTCACAGCATGGAAATACCTGTCAGCAAGAGGACCACTGGAAAGGGTAAAGACATGAGAAATCAAAGACAAGAGAGAATATAAAGCCATGTAGATTTGTCTTGGAAACAATTTTACAGTTATGAGATTGCCCAGTTTCATGATAATTTATATCTCCATCAAAATTAAGAAACCATGTCACAAAGATCTAAAACTCCAGCTTTCCTAAGCATCCCCAGACCACACCCCATCCCCGCTTCATGCTCCCACTATATGCTGCTCTGTTCTAGGAATTCTGCTTCACTTCTCAAACTGACATATAGAATGGGCTCTTTCTACAAACGTGTTGGTTTGCCCAAAAAGAGAGCAAAGGTGTGTGTGGGGGGTTTCCCTTAGAATGACTTCCCTCACAATACCTACTGAGCTGTAATCAAGAAAAATATTTAATGATTTCTATGCATAAAAATTTTAAAGCAAGATTTTCTGAGGATAATATCAAACACAGGCAGCCTACATGGAAATGACCAGAAGTTAAGACTCGATGAACAAATGCAGATAGATGTCTACTAGTTCTCTCATGTTTGGAGTGAATCTAGTTTACCTGGGAGTCACACCTCAAGCTATCACAGCAGTATCTGAAGCCAGTTTTAACCTGCTGCCAAAATGGAAGAACCACAATGACATCGATTATAGCCGTGTGCATTTACGTGATTTTACTGACTGAAATTTCTAGGGAGGACATGCAAAGAAAGAGAGAGACCAGAAGACTTCCAAGACACACTCCACTGTGACAGGAAAACAACTTACCAAGAGCGATACGCAGTGAATGATCTCATTTATATTAAAATAGGAAACGTCCATCTGCACAAATAAGATGGAAATGCAGGGAAAGAGACGTGAAAGTTTCGGGCACAGAGCCAGTGGGTGTAGCAGTTACCCTTGGAGGAGAGGCCTGAGACGGGGCGCGGGGGGAGCGGGAGGAAGGGGAGAGGGCTAAAGTCTTCTGAGTATTTGCATTTTTAAAAAGAAAATACAGGGTGGGGCAGAAATAAGTTTAAAGTTGTGAGTACCCAAGTGTATTTCTGTTTTATTAATTATTGTATTCTTTTCCATACGAACAACTGTAAACCTACTCTTGCCTGGCCCTGTACATGCATGTTATGGTCCAATAACACTACACGAGACCATAACCATGGAGTTGGCAGTATTGCTCCTGGGAGGAAAAAAGACAATAAAAACACACTAAAGACACAGCAGAAAGTTCATTTCATTGTTACACCTGAATATTATTTAACTACTTACCCATAAGAAAGAGGTTTAGATATTCATTGCCTCCTAAATTAACAGAATTCAAGGAGAAGACATAGAATCCCAAACACCCCGTGAACCAAATCAGCCAAACAATAAGTGTTCTTGTTCCAATATTCCAGTCATAAAACAGATCTAGTAGGTTTTGCTCGGTAGCTACAGGAGCCTTACTACCAGCAGGACCGTATCGATCCAGTGATAAAAGTTCTGACAGTCGACAGGTGCTCGCCCGATTCCACTTGGCCATCTGATCAACCACTGTTTGTGCTTCTTCATATCTTCCCTCTGAAATAAGCCAGAAAGGTGTCTCCGGGAGCATCCAACAGCAGAAGACAAAGGGGATGGTCACTGAGGAGAGGATGAGCTGATAGAGCCTCCAGGTCCTGACCATGTAGCCCGTCAACGCCACCACCATGGTTCCGATCGCAAAAAAGGAATGCATGTGGATGGAGGCCCACGTCCGAGCCCGCATGCCCACAAGCTCTGTCACGTAGACAAACGCCACCACCAGGTAGCCGCTCGCAACCTGAGGAACAAGAGGGGGAGGGCAATCCAGACTGAAGGCCACATTTATACTACGGCGGGGTCTCATCTCCCCACAAATGACATGTAGGCAAGAAAGAAAATGCCAAAGAATTGTTTTCTGGAACCCGTATCACATTTATAAAAGGGCATTTAATCCGATCTATCCTTCATTTTTCCATGGGGTCCTTCCAGCCTCCTCCACCTTCTCCACTCTCAACCGCAAAACTTGAGAGGCTATGTACGGATAAATGTTAGGCACTACCTTTTGCTGCATTTAAATATTCCTTTACACTGTGAATTTATTTCTCATTTCCTTGTAAGTGTACATGTCAATTTATCTACATGAAGGAGGTCCTAATTATTAATCCTAATTTTTAAACAGGTACAAAAATTATGGTAACTAGTGGGAAGAAAAAAGATTTGGCTAAAACTTTATTTTGGACAGGCAACAAATAAAAAACAGATAAATTGGGACTTCATGAATGTTTAAAACTTCTGTGCATCAGAGGACGCCATCACTAGAGTGAAACGGCAACCTACGGAATGAGATTATTTGCAAACCACATATCTGATAAGAGAAAATTATCCAGAATATATAGAGAACTTCTAAAACCTCAACAAACAATTAAACAATCCAATTCAAAAATGAGCAAGCAAAGAGCAGGGATCTCTCCAAATATGGTATGTGAATGGCCAATCGACATCACTAATTATTAGGGAAATGCAAATCAAAATCACAGTGAGAACCATCTCATGGCCATCAATATGGCCACTATCAAAAAAACAGAAAATGTGTTAGCAAGGATGCAGAGAAACTGGAATCTTTGTGCACTGTTGGTGAGGAATGTAAATGCAAGATTACAAGCTCTTCCTGCAGTTAAAAGCTTCACTCCATTATCCTTGATCAGTGACCTTCAAACAGAATCACTGCTGCTGTTGTTTGGAAATTTGGAACCCGTCTGAAAGCCTCACCAAGTGTGGGAACCACATCCTCACTAGCTGGCTGCTCCCAGTGGCAGTCCCCATTGCATGGAGTGCCTGCCCCTTGCCGGGTTGCTGTACCGCAGGTGTTTACTTTAATCCCACTGAATCCTGATAACAACCCTGTGAAGCAGGTATGATTTTCTAGAGCTTCGTTTAGAGACTGAGGTTCAAAGAGGGTAACAGTTTCCCACGGTCACACAGCTAGGGAGCCAATTATGACAAAGCTGTATTTAAACTCCTGCCTTTTCCACGAGACTCCCCCGTTCTTCATAACATAAAGGCCTAATGCCTTCCTGTTTTCATTCTTACTGGCTTTCTTAACAATATACCTTAACCTTGTCTGTTCAGCTCATACATGCAGGGCCTGACTCAACCAATACAATTAATTGCTCAGAAATAAAATAATGCTGTAGTAATTGTGGAATGTGGATCAAGTGCCAGGCATAGAATAAAATTAAGAGTTTCTGCCTAGTAAGCAACAATTTTTCATTTTAATGAGTTCCATTCTAAACAGAGGGCATTAATAGTCCACAGAAAAAAACTTCTGCAAGGGAGTGAACAAAGGTTAATCCTTGCTCTCTCTCCCTCGATTCCAAATAAGCACACCTCAGAGAGTTAAGGTTTAATGTGAAAACACTACCGTAGAATTAAAGAGGTTGAAAAACACAACTCACAACAGCAAGAAGAAAGCGTGCAAGTATGAAGCTGTAAAAATCCAATGTGAACGCCGCTGCTATGCCAAACAAGTACATGCTGATGCTTGTGGACCACAAGACAAGTCGTCTTCCTACCCTGGAAAAGAGGAATCAGCAGTGGAAGAAGCAAGGTATGGCTATGACAGTTTAAACACCCACCCCAATTCATGAAAGGTGCGTGTTGACCACATTTTTAATTGCTTATGTATTCGATTGTATTCATTCATTTTGGGCAAATCATGAGTAAATACTTGATTTCTTCAAGAACCCAATCTACCTAAGCTGCTAGTGGAGAGGCCTCTACCTAAGCTGCTAATATACACATATGACCACTCTGGATGGCCCCCAGAAGACCTCTGAATCTGGGATTTGGGGGAAGTGGGGGAGAATGTGCCCTTTTGCTCCCAGGACTTCCACTCTCTGATCTGCTCGGTCATCTTCCCTGCTGCCCGCCAAGGCTGAAGCAGCTCTTGCTAAACCCCTTGAAAGACAAAGCTCTTGCTACACTCTGTAGAATAAGAAGCTTACTTGCCCTATGTTTTTATAATTGGGAGGGTATTTCTTTGTCTAAAAAACAAACATGTAAGTACAGATTATCTTCCTGACAGATTTTAAAAATTGAGATATAATGCACATGCCATAAAAATCAGCGTTTTAAAGGATACAATTCAGTGGTTTTCAGTGTGTACACAGAGTTGTGAAACTCCCATCACTTTCTAATTCCAGGACATTTTCATCACTCCAAAAAGAAATTCAGCACCCAGGAGCAATCACTCCTCACTCTCTGCTCCCTCCAGTCCTTGACAACCACTAACCTACTTTCTGTCTCTGTAGAGTTGCTTCTTCTGGACATTTTATATACATGCAGTCACACAATATATGACCTTTTGTGTCTGGCTTCATTTACTTAGCATTACGACTTCAAGGCCCATCCATGCTGTAGTATGTATCAGCACCTCAGTCTTGTTTCCGACTGACATTCCGTTGTATGGATATACTGCATTTTGATTATCTGTTCATCAGTTGGACATTTGGATTTTTTCACTTTTTGATTATTATGAATAATGATGTCAGGAACATTCCTGAACAAGATTTTATGTGAATTTATGTTTTCAATTCTCTCGGGTATACACCAAAGACTAAAATTGCTGGGTTATATGATAACTCTATGTTTTAACTTTTTGAGGAACTGCCAAACTGTTTCAAAGTGGCTGCCCTTTGGATTGTTTTACAGTCCTGCTGGCAACATATGAGGGTACCAATTTCTGCATATGCTCCACAACTCTTGTTATTGTCTTTTTTATTACTGCCATCCTAGTGAGTATGCGGTGGTATCGCATTGTGATTTTGATTTACATTTCCCCAGTGATTAATGATGGTGAGCATTTTTATATGTGCTTATTAGACATTTGTATATATTCTTTAGGGAAACAGCTATCCAAATCCCTTGCCCATTTTTAAATGGGATTGTCTCCTTATTGTTGAGTTTAAGAGTTATTTACATATTCTGGATACTGGCCTTTATTAGATATAAGACTTGTAAATATTTTCTCCCTGTGAGTTGTCTCTGGCAAATACTTTTAAGGCAAAAGAATATAGTCCTGAGATTCCAACCAACAGGTGAATTATTAGAATTAATGAGCATTTAATGAGGTGGCTGGACATATTATCAATATATATATAAATTAATTATATTTCTATAGACCAGTAACAAATATAAAAAATTTTTAAATGCCATTGCAATAACTTAAAGCTGTGAACTGAATATGAATAAATCTAACAAAAAGCTTGTAAACGCTCTATGGAGAAAAAGACAAACTTCAAGAATCAAATCATTAAGGGAAATAGATATATCATTAAACAAAGAGATCGATGGTCCCTTAGAGGACCCCGGAAACAGACTAGTATATTCATAGCCATACGTATGGAACAAATAAGGCATTGCACATCAGCAGGAAAAGAACCAGTAAGTGGTGCTGGGGCAACTGTCTAACCATATAGAAGAAAATACAACTGGAGTCCCTTTCTCGTAACTTACATTACAAACTCAGTTCCAGGGGATTAAAGGCACATATGTGAAATGCAAAACTATACAACTTTAGGAAAATAATATAGAATATTTTTTCATAACCTAATGGAAGGAAGGGAAGGCTTTTTTTTAAGCTACAGGAAGCACTAACCATGAAAGAAGGGATACAATTGATTCATGTCCATCAAAAGATACCATTAAGAGCCCGGTCGGTATGGCTTAGTGGTTGAGCATCGACCTATGATCCAGGAGATCACGGCTTGATTCCGGGTCGGGGCACATGCCCGGGTTGCAGGCTTGATTCCCAGCAGAGGGTGTGCAGGAGGCAGCCAATCAATGATTCTCTCTCACCATTGATGTTTCTATCTCTCTCTCCTTCTTCCTTCCTCTCTCTAAAGTCAATAAGAACACATTTTTTTAAAAAGAGTGTTCCTACAATATTGTTCCTAACAGCTGGGCACTGCAAACAACCCAAACATCCTTTAACCACATCAGAGACACATGTATTGCAGTGTGTTTCTGCAGAGGGATATGCAGCATTGTAATGGTTATAAATAATGATTTCTTCTTCTTCTTCTTCTTCTTCTTCTTCTTCTTCTTCTTCTTCTTCTTCTTCTTCTTTCTTTCCCCTTTATCTTTCTCCTACCCTCTCCTCCCTCTCTCTTTTTCTTTCTCTCTTTTGCTTTGTAGTACTAGCTAGAATCTCCAGTACAATACTAAGTGGCAGTGGGGTTTCATACATCTTGTCTGTTCCTTATCTCAGAGGAAAAGCTTTTAACATTTCACAATTAAGATGTGCATGATAGAGCCCTGACCAGTGATGCTAAGTGGTTGGAGCATCAGCCCAAGCACCAAAGGGTTGTGGGTTTGATTCCCTGTCAAGGGCACGTACCTGGGTAGCAGGTTCGATCCCCAGCCCCGGTTGGGGTGCATTCAGGAGGCAACCAATCTATGTTTCTCTCTCACATTGATGTTTCTCTCTTGCTCTCCCTCCCTTTCTCCCTCCCTCCCACTCTCTTTAAACTCCACCCCACCACTCTCTCTAAAAATTAATGGAAAAAATATCCTCAGGTAAGAATTAACAAAACAAAAAGATGTGCATGGTAGATCTTTTTGTAGACACCTGTTATCAGGTTAAGGACATTCTTCTGTTTTCAGTTTTTATCATAAATGTATTTTGAAATTTATTAAATGCTTTTCCTGTTTACTAAGTTGGTGATAAGAAGTTTTTCCTCTAATCTGTTAATGTGGTAACTTCCACTGATTAGTTTCTAATACTAAATATGTTCCATACCTTATTCCTCTGCCTCTATGAATTTTAATCTCTCATATTTTCCAACTCTTTGTCTCTCTGAGTTTTATAATTGATAATTTTTTCTTAGCTACCATCCATTTTACTAATTCTTTCACTAGCTGTATATAACAGATTAAAAGTACCCAGGAAGTTTGTTGGTCACTTTTCTTTAAATTTCTTGATGTTCTAGGTAGTTATTCTTCAATTCTATGTCATTTAAAAATAAAATTTCCAGACTTCTATCAATGTTTTAAAACCTGTCTTCTATTTCTTAAAGAACAGTAAACATAGTTGCTTTATGATCTATGCCTGATAATTCCAGTATTTGAAGTCTTTGTGCAGAACCAGGCTACACCTCTTAAAGAACAAGTCTATTTGTCAACAACAACAAAAATATTCAAAGTAATAACAGTATCTGTTGAGTGGTTATATGTTCAAAGTACTTTTTCTGTATTCATTTTACAATAATAACCCTTTGAGGTGAGTGCTATTATTTTCATCTTCGGCTTACAAACAAGATTCTAAAAGACAGGTTATGCAATTTGCTCAGGGGCCACAGCTAATTAGAACCAGGATTTGGACACAGGCAGACTGGCTTCAGAACCCATCCTCTTACTATGTTATTTTGTGAATGTTATTTAACAGATCAGCAAAAAGGTAAATATTTAGATAGGAAGCATAAAAATAACTAAAGCTTTGAACATAATTCCCTGTCCCCTAAGAAAATCAGATGGGAAAATAAACCCTACACCAAACAACAATGCTAAGTATTTCATTTTACCTGTCAGAAAAGTAGCCAAAAATCAGCGCTCCCAGCAGGACTCCAAGCATAAATGTGGGCTGGATCATCCTTGCAAACCATTTTCGGTTACAGACCAGATCCCACTGAGTCACCACGGTGCTGTCCCATTTGCTACTATGATAGAGGTAGCCATCTAAGCAACTAAAGCCACTTTTATGGCCATAATAATCATAGTTCAAACTCGACTTGTTATCTCTCCGGAATCTGACACAGCTTTCGAGCTCCCAGATCTCACCGTCCTGTAGCTGCACTACAATATGATCTTCATCACCCGGTGCAAACCGGTTCCAGATGTCATCCAACCTCCAATGAGAGACATTTTGGAAAAGAACCCGACTCACGTTGCCAGGGGGGCTGCAGGTATGGCTGGGGAGCACTGTCATAAACACAGAAGCCAAGTAGTGGATACCACAAGAGATGTTCTGGAAGGCACATGTGAAATAGAGAAATATCTGGTATCTGAAAAGAGAAGAAAAGCAAGTTATTATATCTGGCTTATGGACTAAAAAAGAATATAAGCAAATATGAATGGTCTCTATCATGTTTAGTTTAATATATATACAGATGGATAAATACAGACTAATCAGAGATGTGTCCTTATATACAAGTTATTATATATATACATATATATATACATAGCTCTGTTGAGAGGGCCTGGAAGCAATGACACCCCAATAGCAACAAGCATGCCCAGTGCCCAGATCTTGATTTCTAAATACCATTCTCCAACAAAAGAAACCAGGAAAAATGGCTGATTCTAAGACCAGGAGAGGGACAATACAAAATAAACCTGGATCACCTTATAATATCAGAAAATAAGGAAGTGCTCAAAATACAAAAGGTGGGGCATTTCAAAGGGACATGGGGACGAATCTGAAAGAACTCAAGAAGGACAAAGCTGAAACAATTTGAGCAACAAAAGAAATAGCATAGTATACCAAAGTATAAAATAAATATGTGAATTTATACTGTGACAATTTTATGTGTCAACTTGACTGGGCCAAGGGATACTTTGAGAGCTGGTAACACACTCTTTCTGGATGTATCTGTGAGGGTGTCTCTGGAGGAGGTTAGCGTTTGAACCAGTAGACTGAGTAAGGAATCTGTTAAGAGTCTGAATAGAACGAAAACACGGAGGAAGGACAAACACACCCTCTCTGCTTGGGTTGGGACATCCATCTTCTCCTGCACTCATCCATTGGTGCTCCTGGCTCATCGATTTTCAGACTCAGACCAGAACTTACACCATCAGCCCTTTGATTCTCAGGCTTTTGTACTTGGACTAAATTACACCACTGGCCTTTCTAAGTCCCCTGCTTGCAGATGGCACATTGTGGGACTGCTTGCCTACATAATCTCATGAACCAAGTGCTATAATAAATCTCCTCTTACCAATACCTATATACATATATACATCTATACACATACGTCCTATTGCTTCTGTTTCTCTGGGAATCCTGACAAATAGACCATACTGATACAAATAAATGGTTGAATAAATAAAAATGAGAAAAGAGACAAATCTTTCTTAGAATTCCAACTAATATCTGCAGATATTCCCCCTACACAGGAGGTAGAGCTTGATTCCTACTCTACTCTTTGAGGGTGAGCTGGACTTCCTAACCTGGAAACAAAGGTAACTGGCTAGCAGGGTTACCTTTTGAGCCTCCGCGAGCTCACAAAATCTCAGCAGGCTAAAATCCCCAGACGAAGGAGCTTGCTCACTCTTGCTCCTCTGGCTTCTCTCCTGCTTCCTTGCACTCACCCGTGTTCCCTCCACAGCCATGTGGCCCTCGAAGCGGAATGGCCCATGGCCATGTGGACCCCGCACACCATGGACTGCAGCTGGGAGCACAAACTAAGCTCGCCTGACGCTGGGCTGGACTGCGCAAACACGGAGCAGAAACTCTGGGCAACGGCTTTAATCCTAGTTCTGCTGAACACACAGCTGGACTTCTTCCACGGCAGGATGGAGGGACAAGCGGACCTTGGAAACTCAGGGATCTAATTCCACACAAACAAACACCACACTCATTCCCCGGTGTGAGCCTCAAAAAATTCCTTTTCTCGTGACATCGCAAGAAGCCCACTCCCACTGGCAACTGTTGGGAACACTGAGAGCTTCCCACCAATAACACTGCAGTTGTGATGTTGGCAACCTCCCCAAGTCCTAGGGATGGCTGCCCAACTGGTAAGTGGCCACCATTCCTCACTTCTCATACAACCTCATGTAGATAAGTAACAAGTGAAATGGAATCAACTTAAAGTGTTGTGGCTATCAGGACACCACAGACGGGGGTGCTGGCCACAACGTCAAAGTTGAACCCTATATCTCGTGCTGGCCTGGGATAGCAAAAAAAACACACAAAGCAAAAAGCAGACAGGGATTGTCTTTCTTCTAGCAATGAAGCTGAGGGGGAAGACACAGATTACTATTCTTATGATCTCTTTGGGATGAGCAGCCAAGAGAAGAGCATGGAGCCCAAGGCTTGAGTCCTCAGGACTAATAGAAGCCAGCTCTATTTTTCAGAAAAGGTACCCCTGGGAAAATGACCATGCAATCCACCTATTAAAACTGTCCCGACCTCCCTGCTCATACTCCCCCTAACTTAGTCCATACCCATATTATCTCCCACCTGGGCTCTTACCTAAGTCTTCTCTGGTCTCCTTGCCCCAACTCCTGCCCCTCCAATGCACCTTCTATTCTGATCTTACTAATATCCAAACTCCTTGGCATGACATACAAAAATGTTCTTAGGGATGACTGTAAGCTTACTTCACACCTTCATACTTTATATTACAGAAATTATAAACACTTAGAAATCCCCAAAAGCCATGCTAGTTCACATAAATATGTGTTCTATTTTCTAGAAGATCCTGAGCATTCTTTCAATTTAAACTTCCCTTTCTCTTTTGCAAGAATAACTTCTTGAAAAAAGAAAACCCTACTTCCTTGGGTGTCTAGTATTCTAACATATCATTCTCCCTTACAAAGACTGTTGTCCATCAGGTGTCATCCATGTGTCCAACCTAATAGACCTATAGATACAACACAGCACTGTGCCCACAGCTGAGAGACACAAGTATGAAAAAAAGACACAATAAGCTGAAAACCCAGATGCAAGGAAACGCAAAGGTGACCAGAGCTCCCTGGAAATCTGGGTGATGGGTTAAAAAACTTTCAGTCCTAGATTGATATCATTCTGTATAAAGAAGCATAACAGATGACACCTCACTGTGGTTAAGAGCATGGACTCCTGAGCCAGACAGCCAAGGTTTGAATCTTGACTCTGTTACCATCTAGGGCTTTGGGCAAGATCCTTAACTTTGCTGTGCCTCAGTTTCCTCATCTGAAAAAAAGGGTTGTTGTGGGAATGGAAAGACTTAATACATGTAAAGCAATGTGGCACACTGTAGGTGCATGTGTTAGCTATTATGATGTTCATAAAGGAAAGCCAAAAAAGAAGAGCCAAAAAAAGGTTCATATTTTAAAGAAAAACCCAGATGCAAGTCAGCCGCAGGCTCCACAGTCCAAGTCTGACATTTTAAACCATATCTCCCCTTACCCCAGGACAACTCAGGGATCCAGGTTCTTAGATCCTCCCAACACAGAAGCCTGAACCTCAGTTTCCTCAATTCCCTCTCACACGGGGCTTAAGCTGTGAAGTTTATGGAACTTCAATATAATTTCAGGACAAGTCCAGGAATTGCTTTTTAATTATTCTGAGGTGTCCTGCTTTCCTCCCTTAAAGGTGGTTAGGATAGTGCTTCCTCACCCGAGAAAGGACTAATGAGAAATGAAAGATGATTAGGGATCTCTACCTAATACTTTCACTAGGTTTCCTTAAGAGAAGGCTAATGATACACAATAACCTCCCTTTCTATTTATAAACATAAGGAGACTGATTACAGCAAATACCAGAGAAAATAGGGGTACCGTGTTACCGTGACACTGTTTTCGAACCTTCTGCTGTAAACGCTGGCGTGTTACCCTTTTCCTTCTTACCAGCCGCTTTCACTATCAACCTTTCCCACCAGGATGGAGGCTCAGGTAACAATAATAGCTGTGATACTGAGAACTTACTGAATAAAAAAGAGTTTTGCATACACTATTGTGGCCGGCTAAGAACCGTCTCCCAAAATCCATTCTCCCCTTCTCCCACTGTGGTGAGCTACATTCGACCATGTGGGTGAGGTCAAGGACAGCAGCAGAAAGGGAGCCCCAAGCAGTGGATGGTGGAATAGCCTCGCCCACTTGGGTCCCCAGATAACCCATGGGGAAGGAATGGGATTATCACCTCTTACCTCATAGGGCTACTGTGAGAGGCTGCATGTGGAGTCCTTATAACAAGCATTTGTTATTACCTCCTTTATACAGATGAGGAAGTAATAAATATAATGCTCAAACCATATAGTTAACACATGGGAGAGCCAGGACTGGACCTCAGGCTTCCTGCTTCCAGAAGGCTAAAATGAGATAAGATATAAAGAGCCCGGCCGGGCGTGGCTCAGCGGTTGAGCATCAACCTGGGATCCAGGCGTTCGGGGTTCAATTCCTGGTCAGGGCACATGCCCGGGTTGCGGGCTAGGCAGCCGATCAATGACTCTCTTATCATTGATGTTTCTATCTCTCTCTCTCACCCTCCTTTCTTCTCTCTGAAATCAATAAAGATATACTAAAAAAAAAAAAAGGAAAGAAAGAAAGATATAAAGGGCCTGGCCTAGTACCAGGGTTGGTACTAGGAGAGCATCATGGTTGAGAGTGTGGGCTGTGGAGGCCGACGGACATCAAGTCTGCTCTATTCCTAGATCTGTGATTCAGGCACATGCCCAAGTTCTCTCATGGGTAAAATGAGAGTGACACTAATCTCATAGGGCTGTAGTGAAGATTAAATAAGGTAAGATGTGCTGATGACAGAGTTCCGCACAGTTGAGCATCGATAATGGGGGAAGCAGGGGAGAGCTGGGTAGCTTCCCTTTTGCGGACACTGGGAATCATAACCAAAACGTGTGAAGCTCTCCACCTCAAAGAGCAGCACCGCGTCATTTATTTCTTCACTAAAAACCTGGGAAAGGCGGGTTCGGGATTCTGATTCCCATTTTGTGGATAGAAAACTGAGACACAATATCCCCAGAATCACCCTAGAGGTAAGTGGTAGGCCAGGTTCAGACTTAGCTCCAAATCTCTGACCAGCCTGCTGTGTGGCCCCTCGCCCAGCTTCCCCTCCTCCCAAAACAGGCTGGGTCAAATGAATGAATGAATTTTTAAATTTTTAAAAATTAGTCTAACAAATGAAAAGAGGGTGCCAAGTGTACAAAGGCTAAACCTAGGTCCCACCAGGGGGCAGCTGTGGATCTTTGGCCCTATCAGCCTGCTTCCCAATCATGGAAATATTTGAACACCTCCTTTGCAAGATCGCAGCGGCCATCAAACGAAGCACTGTGTGTTACCCAGCACAGCGTACCGGGTATATACTAGGTTTCTATACCCAGCACAGTGTACCTGGCACTTACGAGGTTTCCATAAATGGCAACAAACTCGACTAACGGTTGTTTCTGGGGCGGTACCTGCCAGGCACAGAGAGAGACCCCAGGGCGCCACGGGGCGGGGCAGCAGTCGTCTGGGGAACTGAAAGAGGAGACGGTTTGGCGGATTGGAGACCGGAGGCCAGACACAGGCGCTCCTTTGGTGTAACCCGGCCCTGGGGCTGGGCCTCCCGACCTCAGCTCCCGCAGAGCGCGCCCCAGGTCCCACCTGCCCCGAAACCACCATTCCCGACGGGAACCCCAAAGCCAGTCTCCTCGCCGTGGGGAGGTCCCTCGGCAGTGAGAGTCTGGACCCGGGCCTCCCGACTCCCCTGGGACACTTGCGGTGGAGGTGTTTTCAGATCGCGAGCGCAGCGCAAGAACCCCGCTGCAACGGAAAGAAACAGACCCCAGCGACACCTCCACTCCCGTGGTTGCCGCCCCCCTAGGCTGTCCTCGCTCCCCAGCCCCACCCCACCCCACT